AGAGAGAGAGAGAGAGAGAGAGAGAGAGAGAGAGAGAGAGAGAGAGAGAATTCAAATGAATCCAAGGAACAGTTCATAATCCATTGCTTTGATGTACTCAGACTTTGATTACATTTGGTGGGGGTTTTACATATTTATAAGATATATCTTGCTTTCAAAACCATGGTTTTATTCTGAAAACAAGACATTTTCAAAGAATGTTAAAGAGTATTAAAGGAGAGTAATACTACAACATTTCAATGTAATACTAACACTATGATTGTAATCTATGTTACTCAAAATCATGGGTTCTAAAACTAAAGTAATGTTCTCATCAATGAATTTGACAGAGGCTAATGTGACAGAGGCACACAGGAATACTTAATGACATCTCTAGCCCTATGTTAATCTCTAACTAGATATAAGGTAAAGTAGCTTTTATAAAAAAAAAAATGAAGCCTCAGCGTACCCATCTCACTAGGGCATTATGTTAGAGGTTTCCCCCGGAGCAGGAAGAGACAGAACTGCAGCTCCATGGCTGGCTGCAGCTGCAGCTTGGGCCCTCACTTCCTCCTCTCTCAAAGCCTCTGCATAATGGCATGGGAAGGCTGTGGGAACAGTTTCATTAACCTTGGCCAAAAATTCCAGGACTTTCATCTTGCTTATCTCGCTGTGTGCTCGTGGACCCCACAGGAACTCATAGCGTGGAGGATCACTTAGAAGCACCTGGCGGTACACCAGATACTTCTTCTGCACCAGATCTTTAGTGATGAACTTGCGTGGCTCACCAAAGATTATATGCTCCTTGGTGTCATAGATTGCCATCATATTCAGGAATTCCCAGATCTCTTCTTCAGAAGCAGAATTCCCTTTTAAGAAGATCACCCCAAGAAGTGGCATCAGAAGCCCATTCATGGGGATATCCAAGCCACTGATTGAGCCCACAAAGTTGGAGTCATTCAACTTTTTGACAAGGGTATAGCAGCCACCACCACGCTTGACTTCCTTCAACTCAAGGCCAAAGAGCAGCTCTGCCCATACAATGGTCACTCGTAGGATCTCAGGGAATTGCGGACGGAACCTTTTATGCAGGATCTTCACCATTTCAGCCTTCACTGCTTTCTCCTTCATTTGATACTTGTACAGCAGGTAGTGGATCAACATTCCTGCCTTCTTCATTAGAAGCTCTTTTTCTGAGCACTTGGTGGGCACTGTGGCCACAGGGGAAGGTTCCCTTTCCCTCCCTCTATTCTTGGCACCTCTCCCAGACATCTTTGGTGTAGTAACACCAGTGGCGCTAGTAGGGGATGGAGTACCCTGTGACTTCTGGGGAACAAGGCCTACAGAGGACCTGGGGGCAGCTTCCTCAGAGAGACCACAGCAGGATGGGGCCTCCCCTCCCTGTGCCCCTGGAGCCTGAGCATCCTGGGCAGCCTGGTTCTCACTTCGGGCCTGGCGACGTTTCTCTTGAGCACGGAGCTTACTCTTGTGTCCCCGGGGCATGATGACTGAGGTCAGGGACAACAGGTAGGACTGTCAGCTGGAGAGCAGGTGTCGCTGGCACCTGGAGGATAGGGAATGAGACCCTATGAGAACTTTAATAGAAAGACCCCACTGACCATTTAGGAAGGCCCTCTCCACTGCCCTAGCTCCGCACAAGGTTGTTTTTCTTCCTGCCCTGACAAGTGCTGAGCAGCGAGAGACTTTCCTTACTTCTTAGGCTGCCCCCTTCTCTTGGGCTCACAAGTTGAGAACAAGTGCCACCCATGTGGTGTCCACCTGTTTCAAGGGACCTCAAAGTTTGCACTCAGGAAGACGATATTTATCACAGGCTCTGTCTTGCACTGCACTAGGCCAACATCTCCAATCACCCTTGCATCGTTACCAAATGCCGGGATTTTCCTTCCCACTATTTAGATAGAGGGACAGTGCTGACGGTCCCTGGAGCTCTCCAGCCTGTGCTCCTGGGCCCATACTCCTCATTTAGCAGCCCCATCATGCCTGTATCTGCAGTACACAGTACTCCTGCATCCTGACTCTTGCTGTGCCTTCAGAACCAGTTGTTCCTTTGAAATGGACTTGCTACAGAGTAATGACAAAAGGCTCTGTCTGTAAGTAAGTGCTGCCAACTCAAAGGCAGTGTGCCCAGAAAGAGCTGAAGTGTGCAGTGTTCCCTCAACATGGGGTCAAGGAAGTGACACCTGCAGTCCTCACCTCCAGTATGTACGTTGTCTTAGAGAAAACCTCAGCTTCACTTCCCCAGATGTCAGCATGCAATCCCGGAATAATAGTGGAAGATGTGAACCTGGCGGTATCTGGCTCTACTGCCACATTCTCCAGAGGTTTTAAGGTCTGGGTGTCAGTTTGGGACCTTGGGATAGTTGGTTCTGCTTGATATACATGGCCGGGGCCTCTCAGGACTGCCATCAAGATCCAATCCATGGGCCTATTACAGATATTGTGTACGAGTCCCCTGAAGAGCTCACGGAATTCTCTGTCACTTGTGGCCACACAAGAACTTGCCTCTGATGACCTGAGGCCTTTCAGCTCAGATTAACCTTGCCACTTCCTGCAGAGACCAGAGATCAAAGGACATGTGAGGCACATCCAGTGACCCTGCGATCTGTGGGACCACAATGTCCTGGTCTTGCTGTCTCTTCAGCACGCACTCACGCATGGACTGTTCCACCATCCATCGATCTGATGCCTCTAATTGGACTAAGCCCTGCAGCTACCTGAGTTGCACGAATGGATGTGAAGACACAATTCTTCTGGCTTTGTCTGCCTGTGCTCTCCTATGACTGAGAGCTGATGAGACTTTCTGGAATCCTCTATTTAGACTAGGTGCCCTTTTATGTTCTCCTTCATTATGCCCCCATCTTTCCATAGTGCCTATCCAGTCATATTAATTATCTCAACTGCCTGAGAGTTTGGTAGATTGTATGGAAATTTTCTCTTCTGTGCATACCACACCAACCTGTAGACTCACATGGGTGACAACTGAGAAGGAGATCTGTTTTGCCCTGTTATGGGACAGAAGTCTGTGTTTGCTCTCAGGTTCCCTCCCTGAAACCTGGCACTGACCACACTTGTCCTGATAATGTGAGGCTTTGCACAGTGACAGTGTTTCTCAGCTCCTTTGCATGTCCTTGGAAGAAGTGAACAAGCATTATGAGCTAGCCTTGCCCAGCTCCCTTAGGTATCACTGTCAGCACCAGGCTTGTGGACAACTGATTTTGTGGAGGGGTTTCCCCATATACACTACTGCTATCACAGTCCCTACCAAGAGCCAGATTCTTCCTGTACCACTTCTAATGAACCTTACTTTGTTTCTGAAATGACCCATGTGAGCACAAAAAGAGCATCTCAGCCTTGACACCTTTAACACTCCCTTCTTAGGATTGAGGGCAGAGGCCGGACTTTATTGTTTTCCTTATTTCTGCAGTAAAGCCCGTGTTACATTCTTCATTTGTGCTTTGTATTTGACACTTCTAGTGTCTAGTTGTACTAGACACATCTAGTGCTCTTCTCTTTCTACTGAACTGGGCTTCCTACCCCTTCAGCACAATTCTCTTTTTCCTAAGACTATGCTGTTTAAAACCATCATCTACTTGAGGCTCCTAGCTTGGACCTGAAACTACCCGGATCTTATCAGGTGTTGCTCCTCTACTTTGCAGGGAAACATCCATTTCTGCTCAGTGTCTTCACCTTCTCCTGCACTGTCTGTAGTAACCTGTTCTGTGCTGTGCAGAAGCCAGGCCCCTGTGATGCATGTCACCATATTCTTTGGCCCTGAGTTGACAGCCACACTGACACAGTTCAACTAAAGACCTGCACATGTGGAGAGTCTGAGTGGCAATCCCACATCACCCACTTCTGGAGCCTGACTAACTCGATGGAAAGAGCACTTTGATCTCAACTTCTGGTTGGATTCACTCAATCTTGTTTTGTTGATCTGAGTGCAGAAGCCACAAACCAACGCCCACAGCCCCTGCAGTCAGTAAGGAAAAGCTGCTTGGTGAGTTCCTGATTGGGGAAGCCATGCCCACGTGTGGTAGTTAGGATGCTGTTGTGGGTGGCCGCCTATTCTGAAAACATATGAACTCCTTGGCACTTAGGGCCCCACTTTTGGGAAGACCTTTCCTTCTGTTATGCTGCCTGTTCCTCTTTGGATCCCATAAGGCCAGAGGAGATGCTCTCCAGGTGCCTAGGGCCAGAGTGCAGACAGAGGAGGTGGTGCTGACATTGCAGCTTTGTCCCAGGGATGCTCAGGTCTGAGGTGGGGGCAGGACTTTGTGGTGCTGAGTTCTCAATGCAAAGAGGGTGGCCCCTCCCTTCAGTGCAACTCAGGATCCTTACCTGGAATGCTGAGGAATCCTGAGAAGTCCCCTCAGTGGAGCAGACCCTGTGCTTCTCACAACTGGGTCCTAGCTCTCAGAGTAGAAAGAAGGATGATCCTCTATCCAGGATTCTCAAAGGCTGTTGTCAGAGGCAAGTCCTCCAAGGGGCCACACTGTGATGAAGTCAGTGCTCACCTAACTGCTCACCTGTTTATATAGTCCCCAGCAGAGCCTGGGATTCCTACTCTCTGATGTCACTCAGCCTGCAAACCAAGCCTACACCTGATTCAATCACAGAGGGGAAATCGGTGCTTGCCCACAGGGCTCCTCCTACCTGAGCATCAGGAGACTCAGATTAGGGGCAGGACTTGTGAGGAGACAGGGCTCAGGGTCAGCACCTTCACAGTAGTTTTCTGTAAACCCCAGGCCACAGATCTTGGTCCTTATTTTCCAGCAACTGGTACTTTGCTTTCTCACACCTTCCAGGTGAAAAGAAGCACCTCAGCTGAATGGCAAGCACCTCCACAAACCCATGTGTTCTGTGAGTGGTGATATTCATTCTTCTCCAGATGAACAGAACCCGCCAGCCTCCAAACACTGCCCACCCGTTCCTTCATCCTTAGACTAGAAATGCAGTCTTGCTAGGAACAGGTTCTATTCCTGGGCCCAGGCCCCCACAGTTCTCCCTGCACATTCAGGGGAAATGGAGGCATCCTGCACAGAGCTCCTGCATCTAAGAAACAAAAGAGTATGAGATCTGACAATTTAACATGTAAAGCCTTTTATTTTGCTGAATCATCTAAGCAATGCAATTTGTCAATTCCCAAGACTGGAATGAGTCAACTTTTCCAAAAATTTGTAAAGATTTACTTATTCCTTCTTTTCTTTGGTATTTTTTAGGGAAGGGTCTACAGTGTGTTCAGCATCTCACTACTTGATCGGCCTGGTAGTGATCCACCTGTTCACAGCCTCCCAAGAGGTGGCATTACAGGTTTGTGCCACCATGTCCAGACTCAACTGTTGTCTCAGTGTGACCCGGGGGCAGGGCTGGTATGGCAGGCCTGGGGATCAAACCCCAACCCTTAGGACTGCTTGCAGGCATACTTATTCCTTCTTTAATGTTATTTTATTTTATAATACAAGGCTTCAGTTTACAATGTTTGCATTCATCTCGTGAGTCAGTGCATGTGTTTAGCACATCTTAATTGTTTCCCATCCCTTTCCCTTCTCTCCAGTCTTCTATTCTCCTCTCTAATCATATAACAACGTCCTTCTTTGGGGCAGTAGGTGCATATACACCGCAGATTCCAGTTCATTCCATATGTCCATCACCTCCTCTCCTCTCCCAACCTCCATCCCTTACTTCCCTTCTCTTTCACCCAAGGTCTCTCTTCTGCCTTTCCCCATCTGTCTCTCTTTGCTCTACAGTTCACTCATGCTTCACTCATACAGGAGATGCCATACAGCATTCAAGCTTATGTATCATATTTATTCACTTAACGTTGTGTTTTTCAGTTGTTTCCATTGTATGCAAATGGATAAGTTTCATCCATAATTACAGTTGAGTACTCTTCCTGTATACTTTGGTTTCACATTTTCTTTATTAATTTGTGTGTTAATGGACAACTGGGCTGCTTCCAGGATTTTGCAATTTTGAATTTTGCTGCTATAGACATGGCCATAAATGCATGGCTGTAATAGGATGTCTGCTTTTTCTTTTTTTGTACTGGCCATCAAACTGTGGACCTTGTGCTTTTGCAGCAGACACTTATGCCAATGAGCTCTCTCCCTCACCCCAAGGATGTCTTTATCTCTTTTGTAAAGATACATAGAAGAGGAAGAGCTGATTCAAGTGTAATTTTTACTTTGTTATTCTTTTCTTCTATATCTTGATTTAAAAATTAATCATATTCATTACATTTTCTAGAAAAATCATTATGCATATGACATTTCTCTGCAAGTAAGCATAAAAGCCACGTAGTTCCTGAGGCTTGCTTTATTGGGGTCCCTTGGAGTTGATGCTCACATTAGTTCTCATTCCAGTGCTCACCTGGAAATGTGCCCAGGCCTGTAACACTGCTTCTTCCTTATCTGATCCTGCTCCTCTCAACTGGAGCTCCTTGTTCCCTGATAATGCCTGGGAGTAAATCAGCTGAATCCTGTATGCGTACAGTTCCTTCAAGTCCTGCAAGGTTACACAGCTGTGGCAGTCTACTGAAGACCCCACAGATTGGCCATGGTTCTTTGGCGTAACTCTTCCTGTGTCTCACATTCACATCTACCAGGTTGATGCCCTTTTCTCTCTTGAATTCTCCCTCCCTGTGCCTCTGTATGATTCCTGCATTTGGAAATGGTTGTCTCCCAGTTGTTTATGGCAGTCATTATCTTGAATTCTCTCTTATCTTGAATTTTGGTTAATGGCTCCTAGCTCTTGCATAAAGTCTCCTGGGAATTCCCCATCTCTGCAAAATCTTGTGAAATCTCTTGTCTGCAATCCCTGTTTTTAAGCAATCTGTGTCACAAGAGTGCTTGAAACTACAACAAAAACCAGGAATCCCAGTTGCTAAATTGTTAAAGATGTTTTGTTTCCAATTTGCTTTTAAGTGATAGAGTCAGTGGAAGGTGAAAAATACTCTGATAATTTATAACAAAGAGCTAAGACTAAGCATCTTTTTAGAAATGTAATAGAAACAGTATTTTTGAAAAAATTAATGAATGGTTACAGTAATTCTTGTGGGCTTTTTCTTTTTTAACGAGTATATAATGAAGTACACCAACACACTAGCAGCTATCTTTGTTAGAGGGCCTCTTGAAGACTGTGTAGTTTATGGTTAGGGTTGAGAAAATGTTGGGGGATTTTCTTAATTTTTCAGGTGACTTTTTATTGTGATATTTGCATGGAAATACAAGGTACACATGGCAGTGAAAATTACCCTCTGAGACTTTTTAGGAGCACATTGTGTCTGAGAAGAAGATCTTGTGTGGGTGGTAACCTCTAAAGTAGAAGATAAATGCAACATAGTCTTCTTGGTCACAGTTTCCTGAGCTTTCTGGAGTCCCTGAGGCTCCCTCTGTACCTGGTATTGGTTCTAAGGGAATACAGATGATTCTTTTGATTTAGATGTATGACAACCAAGGCTGAGAGACCAGGCTTAACGGTGGGCATGAGAGCAGCTGATATAGGCACATGGAGGAGAGAGTATGTGAAAGCATAAGCTCCTCCAGGATAGAGAGATTTCCCTGGAATTTTGAAGATTTTTCTGTATGTTTCCCTGTAAGAACTAATTTTGAAACCATAGAGTGCCAATTCTTGTCATCCTTTCCTTTGAAAATGCAGCACAAATCGTTAAATGGAGCTTTAGTCTGCTGCCAGCCAGTACTTCCTTAGTTCACTCCTGAGAAGTATGTAGATAACAGTTCTAATGCTTGGGGATCTCCTTATACTCTACAAAAGTGGATGTTCTCAGGTAACAATCAGGTCCATAAAATCAAGTGTCAGCAGTGCCTTGGCTGCCTTGTGTCTCTTAAACTTCACACCTCCATGCAAAGCTTTCCTTTTCCTTCTACGCACCTAGTGGCAGTGGAAGGGCACTTGACTCTACCAACGTTGCCAGAAGTTCTGTTCTTTGTGATATGGGCATGTTGCAATCTTCTGTTTTAATCCATGGCTCTACCTGTGGTTTTAGACATGACCTGGTAAAACTGCCCATGCTCACCTGGTGCCCTTTGTCTGAGACAAGAGCCCACATTGAACTATTGGCATCAGCATTGGAGGAATTCCTGTACACAGGGCTGCCATTCCTGGTCCCCTTAGGGCTTCAACTGTTGGAGGACACTATTTTGTCTCCCTTGTTTGAAAAGGAGTGATTCTACCAGTCTGCATTTAACATCATCACCCTCACTTCTGTAAGCATTTGGATCTCCTCCTTCTGCAAGTTTGAGTCGTATGATTAGGTCAACCAACCTGTGACTCTTCATGTAAAAAGAAGCAACACAGACTGACAGCTTTTCTAGTGATTCCAAGGGATGAGAGAATGGATACTGTGTATGAGATTTCCTACTTGGTGTTCACATGTGGACTTACCCCTCATTTAAGCCTCTGAATTTAGTCCTTGCACAGCTTGGGATACCTTTTGTCCTCAGAACCAGTCCTCATAAAGAGAGTGCAGTGCTCCTCACATGTGAATATACTTACCTACAGTCTTACAGAAAGGAATGCAGGAATTTTGCTTTGTGTTGTCACCTCCTTTGGGAAATGTTCTTTTCATTAACACCTAGAGCCTTTAACTTGACTGTCCTTAAGACACAGGATTCTTCTAAGCTGCTGAATCTGGACTAATTCTTTAGCCAAAGTCTTCTATTCCCTGAGACTTTCCAGGAAATAATCAGCTTGAGGGTTTTACCAGAATTTCCCAGTTTCACCCTATAGTGTAATGAGAGGAGAATGATGCTCTGTATACAAATTTGGGAACCTAACATATAGACTCGTCTTTCAAATTCATCCACTGTCAACAGGAGTTCATCGCTCTTGTATGCAGAACCTCACCTTTCTTACAGAAAGGAGAGAGGTGACCACATGACTATTATACAAGTTTCCTAGGGTTTCCAGAATAGGTTGATATGAGACCATTCTGTTTTCTAGTGAGTGCTCCCTCACCACTATATCTACCAGAAGCAAAGATTCTTCCTTTTACTGCCCAGAGCCACACAACCACTAAAGCAAACCCATACCCACCCAGATGTGTCCCTGCAGGGAAAAATTGCGCGAGACCCACTGGCGTGCCTTGCCCTAGAGTCTCAGGATGACACCTGAAGCTAAGCTCTGTGAGGATTGTTATTTTAGGACATATCCTCCCTTTAGCTCCAGCTTACTCCCCAGAACTCTGATTTTGCTCAAGATTCGTCCTTCCAGGTCATGAATCTCTTCAGGCTCAGCCCTCTTTTCTTCTGAGAGTCCCCTGGTAGAAGATCACAGTGTGAGTCACATTAAGCTGCAAGAATTGATCAAAATATATGAAGAATGTTTAAATTTAAAAACATAACAGAAGACCAATTGCCATTACAATGCCATCAAAATCTTCCCCCTTGCATTGAATACTCTTATTCCATCAATTTTGCCACTTTCTCAAGCAGTTCTGACACTCCTCTTTCATGAAGATTTTTTAATGTGTTTAGTACAGGACCAATAAGATCTC